CGCGTCAGTTGACAGGCTGGATTTGTGTTTGCTCTTTGGAATTGTTTGACTGTCGCCGAGCTATCTCAGCTGATTCAAGTTGCGATGAAGACAGCAGGGACCACAGTCGACAAATTAAGCAAACCCTGTGTAACGATCGCGGAATTTGGTGGTAGTAGCATGCTTCGGAGGTGGCTACAACCGCTCATTCTGGAAAAGTTCGCAAGCTTTTCAGATAATCAGGACCAATGGCCACATAAGACCTGGAGTCAGTGAAGCTGTTTGCGAGGTTGACGGATCACCAATCAGTAATCTGCCGGTGGCCGAGTGGTCGGCACGTTTGATTTCCAACCATAAGGTCACCGGTTCGAATCCGCGTAGGGGTGGGCGTCCTCGCGGTATACTAAGCCCGCGCGCGACTGGTGGTAGTCGCGCGGCAGCGAAGCGCCGTTACGGCGTATAAGCTGACACATTTCAATCAGTAATCTGCGTAGGCATATGAACCGTTGGGCTGAGCAGTTCCACACTCAATTCAGTTATTTAACAAATATGCCTAATTGCGTGCTTTGGAACGTTTCACTGGAACTACCTAACGAAGCGGAGATCTGTCTTTAGCTTCATCACGTGAAGCTGCTGCCTCAGATGAACATCCTCCGGAGCTGTTCAAGTACGGTGGCCAGGCGATTGGAAACCAGGTAACAACTCTGTTTACCAAGGTTTCATCCGCTTTGGGCTAGTCGATAATAGCATCCATCTTCAAAAAGGGTGCTCACACTTCATTTGACAAGCACAGAGGAACCATTCCAATATCTGTCGCCTCCTAACTGCTAGTATTCACCATACTCCGCAGGTTAACACCGATTCGAGAACTACACGCTCGTTAAGAAATATGCTGGTCTCCACCCCGGTCGAGGGTGTGGACCACATATTTACGCTCCGCCAAATCCTCGAGCAGCGCCACCATTATTGCCAGACAATATTGTCGCTGTTTTGGACATCCGAGTTGCGTTCGACTCCGTCGATCGGCCTGCTCTATGGCGTTGGCTGCAAAGGATAGGGGTTCCCGGGAAATATACCGCCATACTTCCAGCTTTATATAACAACATCTGGTAGAGTAAGAGCTGATGGTAAGCTCTCCTCAGTTTCCGCCGTCACTAGCAGTGTGCGACACGGGTACCACATGTCCCAATTTCTCTTCAACCTTGCGATTGAAGATGTCTTATTAAGCGCTCGGAAAGGTCTCTAGGGTTCTGGCGTATAGTTTCTTCTAAGCAAGCGCGGGAATGACTTAGACTACGCTGATGATATTGCCATGCTCGGTCATGACCCGCAGATCATGCAGTTAGTTCTAAACCGCTTGGTGATTGAAGGTACAAAGTATGGCTGACTTTCGCTCCGCTAAAGTACAAGGTCCTACTCCAGGATAGGCATCCACCTGCTCCGTGATGATGCTTGGAGACGTGCAGTTAGAATAAGAAAGCTTCACCTACCTTAGGAGCAATGTTTCTACTAATGGCACCATTGGAAGAGAGATTTCTCTCCGTATCGGCACTATCCGATCAGCTTTCGCTAATCTGAGACATCAATGGCGTCGTCAGGGCGTTTCATTTCGATAAATGGAAGGGTCTACAATACCTGTGTTGTCGCGGTCCTGTTGTAGGAACCGAGTCCTGGCCGATCCGCGAAAATGATTTGTGTCGGATTTCCGCATTTGACAACCGCTGTCCATGCAGGATACTTCGTGTGTCGTGGGAACACCAGGTTTGCTAATACGATGTTACATGTCGCGTCCTGTGTAATAAGGGCTTCCCTCTCGACAAGTTAATATCTCTGCGCCAACTGTGGTGGCTACGGCAAGAAGTACTCATGCCGTGCGAGCGTTTACCACGGTGCGCTATATTCGCTCGAGCATGGTCGCACTTGAGGAGATCGCGCTGTGGCCAATTTATAACATGGCAACAAAACGTCAACGTGCTGACTTCCGTATATATATATATATATATATATATATATATATATATATATATATATATATATATATATATATATATATATATATATATATATAGTCGATTCCGGTTAATAGGACCAGCCGCTTATTCGGGCCAAATTCTGAAGAACCGAAACGAATCCTATTACGCTAGCCTAATTTTAGCCGCTTAATCGGAACAGACGATAGAAGGTGGCAGGTAACAGAGGTGTTAAAATCAAGTTCTGTGCCTGGATGTCTGGACTAAAGCCACAGTTCGGGCAAGAAAGCGTATCATTCAGTTACGGTAATGCGAGTTGGCCTTTGGATAAACTGAACTGTGGCAAGCTTGAGGCACATCTATCTAATTGGCTTCAGAACCGCCCGAAACTGACTGTAGTTTCCAACGCTTGTAGGCGGAGCGAAGACATACATGCTTGTTCACATGTCGTTAACCGCTCGATCGATGTACCGCACGTCTATTGAGCCGAATGCCCCAAGCCCGCATTGCGAGCCTACTCTAGAACACGGCAAGTGATCGCGAACACACAGGTCCGACAAATCATAGGACAGCAGGTGGCTAGGTCAACCATAGAAATACCCGGGAGACAGACTCGAGTTCACCTCAGTGAACTGTGCGTGTCTTGTTGCAGGTTAAGAAAATACCACGACGGGACTTGACGTTAGCTGAGAAGATTCGTTTCCTAGATCAGATCAAGGAACAGGGACCAACCACTAGTCAGCGTCGATTGGTGGAAAGTACCTGCTTGGCAAAATCTACAATATCGCGCCTGATAAAACAAGAGAAAGATCTGAGAGAAGAATGGGCACAATGTGAAGGATGACGAGGTACTTCCCAAAAACGGAAGCGTGAAGGCAAGGATCCAGACGTCGATGAGGCCCTTAATGATTGGTTTGTCTTTGTTACTGGGCGAGCCGTGCGAGTAAGTGGCCCAATGTTAAAGTACAAAGCAGAAGAACTCGCTAAAATGCTGGGCCACGAAGGTTTTATAGCTACGGACGGCCGGTTGTCTCGATGGAAATCTAGACATGACGTAAAATTTAAGAAAGCACATGGTGAGAAAGAAAGTGCCAATAGCACTCGAGCTGAAGAACGGAAATCAACAAAACTACCAGAGCTTCTTGAAAAATTTCCAGCAGATGACATCTATAATGCTGATGAAACCGGGTTGTACTATAGGGCTACACCGGACGGCTCCTTAAGTTACAAACATGTTACTCTCTCTGGCTGCAAAAAAGCAATGGATCGCGTAACTGGCTTGTGCTGCTCAAACATGTCCGGAACAGATAAGAGGAAGTTACTGGTTATATATATATATATATATATATATATATACATTTATATATATATATATATATATATATATATATATATATATATATATGCTCCAGTCTAATATTAATAGGTATACACGGGAATGCATGCTAAACACAGCCTTGTCCGGTTCGATGCGCCCCAGATGAACTAGTTCGGGCATAGGTGAAGTACTCGGGTAGAGGATGGTCGTGACTTTGCCAAATGAACAAAATCTAATCCACCGCAAGATTAGAGCCATTCTGGTTAAAGAGATCAACCAAGATGACCAAGTGACTTAGGTGTTCGTCCAGGAAGTAGAACACAGGAACCGGTGACAAACATCGGTCGATGATAGCCAATGCGAAGTAGGGACATCCACTTTCTACTACAAATCATATTCTTGAAAGGATACATGATCAGGCCATGGGCGAGCGGAATTCCGAGAAAACTGGTGGACGAATGACCCTTGATTTGGGGTGTCTGTGGTTCAGTTTGGACCGCGAAGCAAACTGCAAGACGGCCGTATGGGTTAATGCAACCGCATTATGAGTACCATGAAATTCAGGGCAGCGCGGTGGAGAATTCAAAGTAAAGCTAACGGCGAATCCGATTAGGTGCCTATAAAGCAGTATGCCTAGTATACGTTGTTCCGACACAAGTCGCACATGACCGGTCCAATTTAAAATGGGTGTAAAGAGAATAGTTCAATGTGAGCTCCAAATTGAAACAACGGTTAATTTAGGACAAAACCCTCAACAAATCAGATAATTGAGACAATGAAACTGTTGTAAACCTCATTAGCAATTTGTAGCTAAATTGTCCACGAACCACAAGCGTGCGCCGTGATGAAAAGCCAGACCACCGCGATATCACTAGAGATCAGTTCGATGTATGGCAACCAAATAAAGGTCAGGAATAACAATAATCATTAGTGGACCCAAATCTTGAGAGTCAGCCGTTGGCTGCAGCTCCGTGCAACATTTCGAAAAGAGGCCCAGGACCAAAATTCGAATTCACTGGAACAGGCCCAAGAGAATCGCCAATACAGCATAATTATACAACAGACATGGCCTAATTACAATGTTGCAGAATGGACCATGTGTCTGGTACGCAAGGCTAAGTGGATAGATGAAGATGGCGCTGCTTCATTACTACCCAGTATTGACCGCATCGGATTAGTGCGTGTTACGGTTGACTAATAGTGAAAACAGTAAAGTCGCGCAGGGTTTGTAGACGTAGTAAGCATATTCGGAAAAATGGACTATGGAAAGCAACCGCTAATATGCCCAACCGCTCGAAAAGTAGTCAGCCGAAAACACATTGGTTGTCTGAAAATAGTGACCCATACAGAGACACCCGAATTCATAGATAGGAAGATATGGACTCCTTATAAGTTGGGAGAAATTGAAATCCCGTAAGAGTTTGAGGAAACAAGACACATGTAGATTCAACAGAAATAATGCGTTTGTATTGTCTGGAAGAACTAATAACTGAATAATAACAGACCAAAGTGGACACTAAGACACGCTCAAGCAGAGAGAGTTTGACCGGAGAGACACCAGGACGAAGTACGTAACAGAGGCACGAAACCAGGTGTTAGACGTGGTGCAAAGGAGGGCTCGGGTGAACTGTACATGAAACGCACTGAAAGATGAGTGAAAGAAAGCCATCGCAAAAGTAACTCAGAGAGGAGCGGGCCAGATAACTGAACGTTGATAAATCAAGAGGACACAACACATTGAAACTGCAAATGTGGCTCCATGGACTCATCTGTGAAGTTTGTGAAACTTGTAGTGAGAACGATCGTGCTCGGAGGCACCGTACCGGTTGAGTTCGCGATGTTCACCCGAATGACGATGTCGTTTGTGACCGCGTTTCTTATGACGTCTGCGGTGGTGACGGCACCGATGATGGCGTTCACCGTTGACCTCCGGATACTGGTTGATCTGTGATTCAGGAAGGAACCTCGAATGTATTTTTTGCTTTTTCTTTCGGCGATGGGCATCTTTCTTCTGTACTACGGAGGAGGCAAGATGATTGGCAGGAACCCATACGATGCTAGAGTCCGAATCGTCCCCAGACGATGTGGCAGTGAGCTTCGCAGAGCTAGAGGAGGTGGCATTGTCTATGTTAGGGGCATGGCCGTGCTAGATAAGATGGGGGGGGGTGGAAATATGGAGAAAACATATAGAATGCTGCTAAATGGGAAAGCAAGCACCGCTTCAGGTGAGTAAAGCTTGCTAGTGAATACGTAGCGAAACAAGTTCGAAAGAGCTCAGACATCAGACGACCGGTGCACTAAGACTAAAGTTAATCATGTTGTACCTACTCATGTGTCAGAACAATGCGTAAAGGCCTATTCATGCAACATAAGTGGACACAATTTGTCGAAATCGGATCCGAACTAAAAAGAGTGCGAAGGCAACATACAATTTTAAGATGGCTAGATCTACTAGAAGAACAGACAGTCATGAGAGCGTATGTGGATCAAAGAAGCGACGTTGGGTAGTGGTAATGTGCGTAGGGACAGTTGGAATATGCATGCTAGTTCGATAAGCAAACCGATTTACGAGCAAAGCTATCATCTGACAAACAGTAGACTGTGAAAATCAGCCCTCCTCTCCCAGGAGTACAATCTGAGTAATTAAAGCACAAAAGGAATGTCATCGAAAAGATTGCAGAGATGGTGGTGGTGTTGAATACTAGCTATAAGAGTGACTCTAATCATGAATGACTAATATTCGCGGCGTCAATCGATATGCTAGATGAGCTTGGGCCGAACATCTAGGTTTGTGAGTTGATTACTCCCAATAAGGTCGATAGGCGTAAAAAGTGCAAGAAAGCGCTTCCAAGAGCCACTCACCTTATCGGGTGAATAATAAACGGATGACGTGCTTGCGGAAGAACGCTTTGCTAAACACTCACCAGACGGACTGGGTGAGAGTTTGCGCTTGTTAGGGATAGACTTCCGGAACTCAGTAAAAGGAGACGTCGAGTTGGGACCAGGATCAGTTGCAGAAGGACCTTCTTGTTTGGAGTTACACTTTGGAGGAGATCGCTCCTCCCATGAAGTGGTTGAGTAGACGTCACGATACAGTAACTAGATGCAGAGAAGATAGAATTACACAGTACGAAAGCATAATAGTGACAATATGGCGGCCATCAGATTGATAGATAGCTAAGAAAAACATCGATACAGTGGAGGAGTTAACCAATAAAGGGGACCAATACGGTCCTGAAAGGTAAGTCGCACAGAAGCAAAGCACAAGACCAAGTTTACAACGACATGATATGATGTCATGTTATAACAAGATTACTGCTTTTCTCAACAATGGCAACAATCAAAAGAGGCCGGAGTGTGCGAATGCAACATAAAGGTTAATTCAAAAGGTTAGACGAGAATCAGAGGCGTTGAAAAAGGAAAGCGAGACAGCGTCCCTTGTTCTGTTACTGGGTCAAGATCGATATAGCAAGTGGACATCCAGCAAACGACACGGATCTGGAGTCAACCGCCCTGCTACAATTGTCAGTGGGGTCATTCAGCTCAATCGGCAATGATGCATAGAATAGGGCGCCGGCAATACGCCAGTGCGGCGCACCAACGCTTCATTGCTACACGACCACCAATAGTATAGTATGAGTTAGGCATACTGTGAGGCCACGTAGGATCTAAGTAATAAGCTGTGGATTACAACACAGCGCTTTATTCACTCGGACACCGGGAATCGTATACACGCAGTAATCTGGTAAGACCCATAGGAATAGAGAGCCCCGAATACCCATCGAAAGCCGCGGTAATGACTAATTATAACCAGATATAACAACTGTGTATACTTGATTACCGGCGGTTCATATAGATTGAGGTGCGGTTATACCATTAGCGTACCTCAAGCAGTCAGAGGATATCAACTCAAGAAGAGTGCAGAGCATGCATTGCCTACTGACGCACCTGACATGAACTGTGGACGCTGAGAAGAAAGTAATGCATCAGGAGCACGCCGGTGCGCAGTATCGACGCTTCGCTCTCGCGTAACCACCACCAGTCGCACGTGAGCTAAGGATACTGTGATGGTCGCCCGGTCTCCACACAGGCTCGAATCCGCGCCTTCAAATTACAGAGTAAACTTGTGATCGTTAAGAGTAAGTAAAGAAACTGGACGTGAAATGAGACAAACCGGAGAAACAAGCCTCGATTTCGCACGAACGCTTCAAAACGATTCTCCAATCATTCAGTAACGGTTGTGATAAGCATTGCTGTCGTACCTCAGTTGTAGAGATTTCAACCAACAACCAAATAGCCCCAGGTTCGATGCCCGAGGAGTATAAAGGTGTGCGAAACCGGTCGTGAGGTGCAGGGTTTTTCGGGCAGGCGACATCCAGCATTCAAGTGCTTCAGCAGTTACCGTCCCAGTGAACGACTTGGCCAAAAATCACTTTAGTGGGATTGTGAGATTGTGTGCCGTAATCCAATCACACAATGAGGGTTTCCACATGGCCCACCAATCATGGCAAAGTTCTGTCAAGGAAATCAATGTTGACCCTATGGAATGCTAAGGAATATGAACACCTACATGGCCAGATCGTATTCGACAAATGATAGCTTCTGGCTGGCAACAGATATCAGGCAACTCGCGTCAACAACCTACGTGGTGCAGCCCATCAGCGAAAGAAAAAGCTGATAAACCCGTATCAAGTATCGGTAAGGCACAGGTGACCAGATTTATAACGAAAAACATGAGGCGTAACATCTTGCAGGCGTAATTCGATTCGGCTAGACTGGAGGCTGAACGCTTTGCAAGCATTTCAAAAGCATGCTTGCCTTGCGTTAAAAGCAGACTTCGTCACGTTAGGGCTATTGGCCACAAGCAAGGTGAAGAATCGGGGTACAACGCATCATCACGAGCTAGTTTAGTCTAACAACGATAATCCGGACAGTAATCTGGCTCATCGGTTAGATGTGGTCTAGGTGCCAAAACCTGGAGGGATTTGATTGCTCGGAGGCAAATGGTTAAAATAATCAGAACGACAAATAATGAAAAATCAAAAGAAAAAACGGAAGGTAAAATAGTGACACGGAACAGCTAAGAGCTCGAAACAAGGCGACAGATGAAAAGGGCGCTACAGCGAACTTCGTGACTGTGCCACAGGATATCCAGCAATAGATGCAGCTGGTCCAAAGACCCAGCCATGAAGAGTATAGGCACCAAATTGATTTAGGCTTCTAGTGCGCTTTCTCAAGTTTTTCGCCATGCAATGTAGTAGTCGTTGCGGAAATTTACCCGACAAGACATGCCGATGTAGCCAGTTAACAGACGGATTGGTGTGACGTAACCACTAAACCCAGAGGTGGTAGTGTGCATCGCTGCAGTGATAATAATTGATAATGGTGAGGAAAGATACGAAACAATGTAAAAACTCTGTGAACGAAGGATTGGGGGAAAGAGGAAGTAATGATAGTTGATGTGGAAGTTAAACAGCAAGATGCAAGACACTGTTACAGCGATTCAAGACTAAAGGAAGTCATTCGAAGGATTTACCTGGTGAAGAGCAGAGGAGGATGAGGCCGTATTGCCAACATGGTTAACCGGATCATACGCAGACGCAACTGTGGAGGTGGTGGTAGTGGTGATGTCAACAACATTGGGAGTCGAAGACGCGCAAGGTTCCGTGCCAGTTGTAGGACGCTTTTGGGACTCAGTACTTGGTGAGCGCATGGCTAAGGTGCGAAAGGAAAATAAACGGCGCTGTAAAAAGGAATGTCAAGTTAGGTCTCAGAAAACTTATGTGACTGATCCATGACCGTTCTGGAAGGAGGTGAGCAAGGACTAAACAATAAAGCTCAGAGATGGAGTGAAATATTCTGAGTGCAAAGTTGTGTATCCAGATAACTAAGCTGATTCGAACTCGCGGTACATAAATAACTTGCATATTTTTTGATAGTGTGAGACAAACCAACTACGAAGTCTGATCATTCTGTACGACATAACCGGATAGTAGAGGGTTTTTGAGTTTTTCATCATCAACAACAGCAGGAGATCAGCTGCATCGCTGCCACACAAGCATGAACTATGGAATAAAGATTTATAAGAGGGACAGAAAGGGGACCTACCGGAAAACCTTAATGCCTTAAACAAACATTCAGGGTCAAGGCGCCTACACCTTGTGTAGACAACATACCGTCACAAACAGCTGGCTATCGTTCAAAGATAAGGAGTCATCGGTGAGACAGATCCCTTGCGACTTTCACTGCCCTGTGCCATAAGCAGCCATTACGCCACAGATAACTCAGCATAAAACACTTCAAACAGGCAGTCCGACTAGGAGACGGTAGCAGACGCGCCACTGGTGTCGACTGCGACCTGTCTTGTGAAGTCTCGAGCCAAGCAGAAGGCGGGTCACGTGAACTCCATCTCGGTAGGCAAGACGGACCGACGGCACCAAGTTTGGTCGTCAACGAAGTCACTTCCCGCTGCCAAGTCAAGTTTTGTGCAGATCGAGCATTGCGATACCCTACATTTGGCAGAAAAAACAGGGCCCTCCTAGGTAAGCGGTGACCAGGCATACGTAGCACGTGCCCGAGCCAACGCAACTTATTCAGTGCCATCTGTTGTTCTAAGGAACTAGCTTGATCATCACTGCCTAGTACTCGTCTACGCACATCATCATCGCGGACACGCTGGTGCCACCCGACACCAGCAATGCTCAGCAGACAAAGATGAAGGCGTCTCAGATCTACAGACTATAGGGGCCATGTCTCAATATCATAGAGCAAGGCGGCCCTTACTGTGTCCCTGTAAACACGGCCTTTCAGACTGAGGGGAACTCTCTTCTGTTGCCAAGAAGGCAGTTCTGGCTTTTGAAATTCTCAGAGGAATTTTTGGGATTTTCTATCAATTAAAAGTAATAAATAGACAGGGTAGTAGGGAGTAGGAAAAACGTAATTGTAGCCAGCAGTTCATGTAAAGTAATAGGACCATCCATGGAGCCGTCTATTGGGGACGTGCCTCATGCAGGGTAGTCCCTCAAGCGATTTCATCCGCGCTTCCACGTATCATCTAGCCACGCGCTGATGAACCATAAAAGTAAGTTAGCCGACATCATGTTGACCCATTTTTTCACGACCGCTGTTATAACCAAGTAGGCGGTCGTTATGCCGATGTTGCTAAAAAGCAAACAAGCCAAATCATCTTTGGAGCTGCTGCTATAGATACAGAGAATAGGAACTCAAGCCAGTCAGCGCATTCCAACATTTGAGTCCGGTACCTTTTTTCTCGTCAGTGGGTCTGTGGAAATTGGTCTTGCGTGAGTGTTGTTACTTAACTTGGAAGCTTCAATCCGTCACCTCAGAAGATCGGCCCAGTCGTAGCCAACCATGGAAATAAAGATATAATGAAACAACAACGAGTAAACTTCGGGCTCATAAAGAAAACACAAAGTTGTAAGCTGTGGTGTTGATGTTTGACGGCAATGCGGCAACTGCTATCCAGCATCTGGTGTTACTTCTTTATTTAACGTGATAATGGGAATTGACTCACTCACACTTCACGCTACCTTCTAATTAACAGGCCGGCTAATTGGTAGCATTGTTCTGATCATTCTCTGTTTCATTACTTTTAATTACACAGTCGAGGCGTTGTCAGTCACTAATGCCGTGAATGGATAAGAACCAGAAATAAGGCGATAAATGAAAAGGGCGCCGCAGCGAACTTCGTGACTGCGCTACACAATATCAAACCATAGTTGTAGCTTATCTCCAAACCCTAGTCGGGAAGATGATAGGCACTAAAAATATTTGAGCTTCCAGTGCGCTTCTTCAATTTTCGTATTTTCTTTCTGAGATTGACGAACAAAATAGACATCGTACAAACATGAATAAATGCCACACTAGAATGACATGTAGTGCGACAATTGTCTGATTCGATTTACAAAAGCAATCTCAGAGAAGGCTGTTGCGACTGGTGCTTGACTCAGTTTACCAGTTGTACGCCTGCCTTCACTGATCCTCGACACTAGCGCCAGGAGTGGAATTTTCGTGGTCTATCTGGGTTATGTCTACTGGACCGTGTTGGGATCCGCCCTTGGTCTCAGGGAGTCTTGGCCGCATTTTTGATCTGTAGAATACTGTTTGTTTCTGTTGCACCAACTTGTCTGCAATTTCGTTGCATTCACGCAAGTATTAGGCTATGTTGGGCATATTTACTTCGGTTCTGGTAAGTGCTACATGGGTCCGCTCATCCTTTACCGGGAAGTCATCCACTCGTCGGTGGGAAGTAACGTGGGTGCTGACGTCTGTCACCGTAAATAAGTTAAAGTGTAAATAGGTTTAGCGCAACTGCGGTCAAGCAGCATCACGAATGCGACGTCAACGACAGCATGGGGCCAAAAGATATATATATATATATATATATATATATATATATATATATATATATATATATATATATATTTGCGGCATCCGGTTTTGCCTGGCATTACACAGCACAGCTACAGGACGCCTGTGCCTACTAAGGGAGCATGGGTGGCTTGTGCTGCACCACCCACAGCCCCATTCACACACACCATATCTAGTGCAAACCCGGAGGAATAAGACCAGAAGGCATGTGGATGGGAGCCCACATTCCTTCAACATGCACAGTAGCAGTGTTCTCGTCCATTTGGGAATCATGTGCATCAGATGTACACAAGACGGGGGCTGCGCCGTAGTCCGCTTCAAACTGGATGGAGCTACTCTACGCGTCTAGCAGGTGCACGAGGACCACGTCCCAGTCTCCCCAGAAAAGATGAGGTCTCCTGGAGCCAGTAATCGAGGTGGAGGGCGTTAGACAGTCAGGCACCTTGTCAACATGCAAATCAAGCGCAGCCAGATTGCGGAGATAAAAAAACGACACGGAATTCGAAAGAAAATAAACATGCAAAATTGACACGGAATACACAGCAGAATAGCAGAGCTGGGCAAATCAAATAAAGTGGAATACTTTACATCCAGATTAGATGTTAGTTTAAGTGTAATTCGGTGTAGCCCAAGTGCGGTGAAGAAGCGTCATGAATGCAACATCTGTCTCAGCATAAGGTGCATGACTAGGTACAGTGTGCAATAACGGCTGTGCAAAAAGGGAATGGAATAACCAAGTTCCGATGCGGTTTGGTGGTACATGAGGACTGCGCCCGTGTCCAGAGAGTTCCGTAACAACTAGTTATAATGGCAGTTGCCGCTGTGATCAAAGACATCAGGTGCGGTAGGGTACTCGTGTCAAAAAGACATGAAATCGAAGTGATGGAAAACAAAGCGCCCCATTGGCCAGAAAACTGAAAAGCATTATAGAAAAGGCTTGGTGCAGCAGATGACCGCAGAGAAACGCTTAGGATTCGGTGAGAGAGAAATAGCAAAGAGTTGCGTGCTGAACAAGGTGCAAATGAGGTAAGATAGAGGTGAAATTATTAAATGGATAGCTCAGTTTTTCTTAAAGCGCACATGCACTCTGACGATAAATTTGGGACAGGTTTCGCATGGTGACATAGAAGTTTGATGTGTAAACCAACAATTCATAAGAGGATTGAAAAAGCAACCAAAACATCGTCGCGAACAGATAAATTATACAATGTCGCACATACTGAGTGAAATAGCAAGTATGTTCCCAGCAATAGCAATAGATGATGCTGAGGGAATAAGCCGAGTACAACACATTTGTTGTTTGTTTCTTAAAGAATAATGTTTAAAATTTGACTTAAAGTATTGAAGCAACACAATAGTTATTCTTTTCTTTGACTGGACTTTAGAAAAGAGAGTAACTGTATTATTCTGTAATTGTTTCGTCTTAAATAAAAAGGCGCCAACAGAAAATGAGTTAATGGTGGCTGCCATCAAAACGGCCTCAGCGATCGCGATTAGCTACCTAAACAATGGGCGAAAGAAACCACGCAACTCACCGTTAAAAGATGAACGAGAACGATCTGAATTGATAACAATCCGTGGTAGAAAGGACGGCGGCGGTTTTCGAACAGTGAAAGGAGTGATTGATGGTTTATCGGTGGCTTGTTTGCTTGCAAGCAGCGGAGTAGAAGGTGGGAGGGGAATTTGGCTCACATTAAGGTGGTCATACGTGTTCTTTTGTAGTGCTGTGGGAACACTGGAGGAGCCATTTGCGACCAAAGTACTGCCGTTGGGCGGCGTTGGGCGCGAAGCAGGCGGGTTTGTGGCGTTCTCCGAATGGGAGTTAGGAATTGGATTTACCTGGGGACAAAAGTGATTTGGCCATCGTATACTAGGACGTTTTGCTAAGTGCCTGAAACCTTAGTACAATCGCTGTTTTAGATGCATCAGTGCAACCAATGGGACACGGGCATAAACGAACGAGATGGAAATGGCTAGCGTGACGAAACGATTTGAAAGGAACAGAGGACAGTGGAGAGCGTAAAGCTGCAGGCTGGGGCGATGACAAAACGATAGGCAACAAGGGATAGAGACACCAAATGAAACTCACAGCTTCGAAGAACAAGAGATATGGGGCCTGCCGAAGCACATGATCCGCACTGGTGGAATTTACCTGTCGAGGAAGGTCACACAGCATTACGATAGCAGGCTAAGTACATGTGGACGAATAGACAGACAGAGGGAAACTCATCAAACATTAGAAGAGCGCGGACAGTAAAGGTGAACAGTTCGTGCAGAGTCAATTCAGTTACCTGGTTATCATCGGAAATGTGCATAAATGTGCATTTTGACCCAGGTACATTGGACACGGACAGCTCCAATTCCCTTAAAGCGTCACATTACGCCTAAGAGTAGTTGCGAAATCATGCCGTAATGGTTCTATGTAAAGATGAAGTGTACTACGATAGGACAACATAGGAAAATTTTCATGAAACTGTGACTACTGAATTGCAGGGTGTTCCAAAGAAAGCATATTCATAGTTCGAGTGGGAAAACGCATAAAACAGCCAGCTTGGGTAAGTGAGTGATCAAGATAATATCAGATGACGCTTATCTGGTAACGAATAATCATTATCATCGACAGCAGTACAACAGCCATTTGAACTGATGCTTCGCTGCCGTACAACGGCCATCGCAATGAGGCTGGACCTTACTGTGGTGCGATGGTTTATGTGCCTCAGTGATTCATTGAGCTATGCTGGGTGGTGCTTTTGCACCTTCAGAGTCATTCATACCAGATTGGTCAATGGTTAGAGGCCAGACAAACTCAGCCTCGTGGTCAACCAGGTTAGGGGTTGAAATGAGGGTGGCACCTTATTCCTTAAAACGGACTCCTTGTAACCCAACGTCAAACCCGCTGCCTTGCGGGAAGGTTTTTAAACCCAAGGCTTTGGTCGATAACCCTGACAGTATCCTGTTCATGAAATACTAGAAATTTCTCTTTAAATAGTTTCTTGAGGCTCTGGCCGTCCCAGAGGATACTAAACGGCGCTCTGTCTGCTGCATGGAGCAAGGTGGATAGGGGTTTGAATGCTACTGCTCAAGCCTTCCCGTCTTCTTATTCCCAGCTTACGCTTTTTGACCCTCATCGTCCCGTTCCAACTTCACTTTTATCCCTCCTGTTTTCAACCCCCGATTCTTGCCCCCCCCCCAACATGCTATGCTAGACGTTTATGTTCTAAGTTCAAGTCACATGCTAACGCGGAGCGTCACTCCTCTCCTGTCGACAAGCCCATGTCCAACCAAGCGGTCCATTCCAGTTCATCGGCTTCCATTTGGAGCCCTCGATCCTCCTTCAGATTGGCATGCCTCAATGTACGCACATTGCTACAGATCGGTCAAGAGGCAGCATTGCCCGAACATTGGAGACCCGCCTGCAAGACTCGAGCTCTGTGCTCACTCTGCGATCCCCTTCAGGTGACGCAAACAGTATTTTCTCAGTGCGCCTATCCGGTGACGATGCAGCTTCAAGCACCGGCCAAGCCGATTCAGTTGCGTCTCAAATAAGATGTCGACAGCGTACTCTGCTTGAGAATCGACCATCCACTAGTGCACCTTTTACATAAGATAAACGCAAGTGTTACGTTAAGATGAAGAAGGATTGCAGCGACTAGATCCTGACAAATGCTGACCTGCTGTTTCCAATGAAGTGCCGTAGACTTTTGTGCTGGACACCTCGTGGAGATCGCTGGGTTGCGGTTGCATTACACCCTTCTTCTAGCTAAGAGCCAAGACACACATTTCCGCGTGAGTCGGTTCACAGGTTCACTGCGCAAGACCCACTGCCTTTGGGGAGTATATTTTATCGGAGGCTTTGGTTGTAGATCCGAGTCGTTCTCCTTTTCAGGTGTGGGCACCTTGGCAGTTTATCACTCCAACAACTAACCATGAATTGCGCCAATACAAATGAGCTCATGCTGTAGCGGCAGTTGCGCATTGGCACTAAGAAAAGGGTTACCTTAGCTGCTGCTACCGCTGACGCCTGTCTTCTTTCTACCTCCTTTTCCAGTCCCAATCTCAACGAACCCGGAACTTCCTCCAATACAGGTCACCACACGAGCGACTGTTCTGCGCAATCGTATGTCTCCGCGTAAAGGGCAACAACATCGGTTGTTGGAACGTGTGCATCCGACTCGACCGGAACAGGAATGAGCGACCCAGGCGACGCACTGCACTGGCCGCGATGGAACTCGCGCGCTACGGCATCGATACGGCCGCGCTCAGCCAACCGAGTCTCGCTGAGCAAGGTAAGCTGCACGTTCTACTGGGCGGAAAACGCCACCTCAGCCCCACGTGAATATGGGGTCGGATTTGTATTATTAGCCCGCCTAAATGGCCAGCTGGTGGCAGAGCCGACTGGCATCAGCCCACGACTGATAACTCTTCGACTGCGTCTCGGACTCTGTATGTTTGCCACCTTTAGTAGCAGGGATGGACCCATCATGTGTTACCCCGAAATACACGAGAGATGGGATCTACGCTCAGTGGTCGACCGTGATATGATCTGTGCCGAGAAACGACTGACTACTCCTACCGGGCGATTTCGGCGCGCGTGTTGGGCATGATACCGAGGTGTGGACAGACATAATCTGTCCGCATGGTATTGGCAAAGCCAATGGGCACGGTGACTCGCTGCTCTCACTGTGTATCATTCACTGCCTGACGATCACCAATACCCGGTTTGCACTGGCTGCGAGTGATATACTTACTTGGACGCAGCAACGGAGTGGTCACGCTCACCGGCACGACTATGTCATCGAACGCCAGCGTGATACGTGTACTGCATGGAGCTGAGTGTGGCACTAATCAAAAGTTGGTGCGGATGAAGTACATGTATTTTCGTGAAACTATGGACTGCACTCCTGCCGCGAACCGGTGCAAATTTAAGGTTCTTAGATACTGCTGAAAACGGAATAGAAATGGAAAAGGCAATGGCCACCCATCTTAGCGATATCGACTGCATCGCATCAGTCGGAGGGCTGTGGAATTACATCTGTAAAAAGGTGACGCCTGCGGCCCAGGAAACCGTCAGCCACGCAAGCTGTGTGGCTCCGAATGGTTTAATGACAACAATGCGATTACTGGTACATTCGCGTCAGAGAAGAAAGCAGCATTCGCTGCACATGTGGCGGACGCTGCCGACTCCGGGGAGTCCAGTAACGCAAACTTCGGAGGCGATCGACTCGAGAGTTTCGTCGCATCAAGAATGCATGGTGGACAGAGAAGACGGAACAGATGGAATGCTACGCCGAACACCACGAGCATAAGGAATGCCTTGACTCCTTGTAGGGGGTGTATGGACCCGTCATGCAGGCGCTGAAGACGCTGTTACTTCCGGCGCTGTCCACATACAGGCTGCAGAGATAATGCAGATCCAGTGTATCATTAACAATAGTTCAGAGATTGACCGGACTACGCTACACGAGATGAAACAAGCGGTGAAGTGTGTCTTTCTGATAAACAGGCTATGGATGAGACACAGAAAGTAGTTGCACAGCTGGTGTGAAGTAAGGCCTCTGCCCTGTTTAACATTTACCTACACGCAATGTGGTCTTGTGCTTTTGGTGCTGCCATTGATTATGGTGTCCTTGTGGAGCACCGTATTGATGGTGGATACTGAACATTTGTCGTTTCAGAGCGAGAACAATAGTATGTGAGAAACCATCCGTACGTTGCTGTTTGCCGACAACCGTGCGCTGTTTGCAAACAGCGCGGATGAGTAGAAGCACATGACTCCAGCTCTCACTTCAACAGTGGCCAAGTTCGGGCTCAACACCAACACAAGCAAGACTGGTCTTCTTTCTTAGCCCTTATAAGCAATGGTATTCGTGGGCCTGTCGCAAATCAAGGTTCGTAATGAGGTATTGGAAAGCACCTCCAGACTTTGTTACCTTGGGATCGTAGTCTCAAGTGACCTTCAAGTGATGAAGGAGCTGCGCATTCGCGTATCGAAGGCGGTTGTCGCACTTGGAAAGCTGGATTTTCGTATGTAGAACAATCATCAGCTGACCATTGGCACGAAGCTAATGGTATAGACGGTGATTTCATTCGTTCTTTTATAAGGTAGTGAAACCTGGACGCTTTACCAGAAGAATGCCCGATATTTGGAGCGATTTCAACAACAGTTCCTGCGTCGCATTCTGCACATACGCTGGGGTAACCGAGTTGTTGACAAAATGGGTGCTCCGCCGCACTGGCATGTATGCAGTTGACTGCATACCTATGCTGCGGCACCAGAGGTGACTAGGGCAGGTTCGCCGCATGGTTTCGACCAAGATAACGAAACAACTACCGCATGGTAAACTTAGTGAAGGGAAGCGGCACATTGGAAAACCGAAGTTGCGTCATCACGACATGATCAAAGGAGTTTATCATGAACTATGGTCAATTTTAGATGTTGGGAATCAAAGGCAGTGGATGGAAACCAATGGCGAGAGCATATCTAGAAAGCGGTTGCCCAGGTGCATGAGAAATACCTCATCATTATTATTATACACGTAAGTTAGAAACGGAAGACATCACAGCTATTGTGCCGCAATATAAAAGAAAAAATGTAACAGTAGCACTCCAGTTGAGCCACCAGTAACAGATGGATATCGTTCCAGAGAGCTAACAGCCGGCTAATGTGCCGCAAAAAAGAGCTACATTATGTCTAGGAAACAAGACCATGGTTAAAGGGGGAGGAGGAATGCGAGGGACAAAGCAACTCACAACACAACCGACTGAGGTCGGCTCCTAGCCATGTCAACAAGCGTAATCAGCCAAACGTGTTCATCGTCTTTCAGACACAAACCAGGAAGCCGAGACGCTCCAACCGAGGCCAGCTTCGAAGTGAGGGCCTTCATTTCACTCGACCAAGTTATTGCTAGACCACCTCTCCTCTTCCTACCACCTGCCAGAAGAACGAGACGCATAAACAGCATAATTCTTCTATACAATCGAGTTCTACCTATGGTATGTAAATGCGTATAGAGATTCTTCCACGGCATATGCATGCATCATTATCATTGTACACAAAACGCCACTGAGATCGGCTCCTAGCCATGACAACAGGAGTATCCAGCCAAAGGTGTTCATCGTCTTTCGGGCCTCAACCAGGGAGCCAAGAGGCAACAACCTGGGCCAAGATCGAGATAAAAGCACTCATTCCTTCTGACTAGTCATCGTTTGACCACCCTTCTTCTTCTTCCATCCACACCCCCGGAGAGCAAGCGCACGTCGCGTGAGTCAGTGGGTTGGCATACGCCACACGTGGCCAACCCATCTGAGTCTAATGCATGATATCACGGTGATGAGCGTTCCATTGCTTCCTGTGTCAATGAGAAATCAATGCTGCATGCAGAAAGGAAACGCAGGGTACGGAAATAACAGGTGCCGATGGAACCTACTCCATCCACGTCAAGCGCACAGGTGGTCGTGAGTGCATGAGCAAAGCCAACCCAGTAAACCACCAGCGTCACCACGAGGATACAACAGCGAAGAGGAGACGAGTGAGTTGAATACGTAAACATCATCAGCGGAGCGTTCGGCAAACACGCTTCTTCATATTCGAGTTACTAACCCAGGCCAATAATGCGGTCAATGGGGCACGTAAGTTACATCATCATTGCAGTTGGTCTGTAAGTGTGCCTGCGTGTTGAGTTTCTTGCGTTTTAGAGATTGGTTTTTGATTGATTTTCAGTGTGGCTGCGCTTAATGTGAATGTTGACGAGATGCCTACATGTCGAAAAACCGCTACCTTGATTACTGGCTCCAGAAGACGGTCCTTGTTGGAGAGGACGGGGTGCATGGTCTTCGTGACCGTACTAGGCTCAAAGAGTGGCTCCATGCATCTAGTGTGGACCGAGCTACGGCCTAGCTACCGTCTTGTTTACGTCGGGTACGCATGATTCCCCATTTAGACATGAATGCCTCCGTTCTGCATGTTGAGGGAGCGTGGGCCGGCTCCGTTGATGAAACGTGGCTCCCATCCACCTGCCACCCGATCTTATTCAATCGCGTTTACCCTGGATAGAACTGTGGGTCGTGAAGCACAGGCCACCGATGATCCGTTAGTAAGCGCAAGCGTCCTGCGGCTGTCTTATGAAGGCCGCATTGACAGGCAAAGCCGGAACCGGATGAGGCCAACTATAGGGCTTTTATCAACATTTCGCTACCTCTGGAGGACGTTATCAACAGATCTGCGGCTGACCAGTAAGCTGTGCACCCGCCTACCGAATCCGATTGCTGCATTTGGCAATCTGGAACATTAAGTCTGGAAAAATACTCAGTTGATCGTTGGGGCCAAGTTCACGTGCACGACTCAAAGGCGCTGTCGGTTCTTTTCTATGGCAGTGCAACATAGATACTATACAAGAGGGACATTCGATATCTGGAGCGGATTCGTCAATAATGCCTCGATCGGATTCTGCAGACCAGTTGTGGCAGTTCGTGGAACGGAAGTGATTTGCTGCAGAGGTATGTGCGGAGTTGACTGGATGCTGCTTATTCTACCCATGAGGTGCCTCGGGTATGTTTGCCGTATAAATGTGACCAGGGTGCCGGAACGTCCGCTGTGTGATCAACTGCTTGCAGATAATGGAAATGTTGTTGAACCGAAGCTATGTTATTAGGATGTGATCAAGATGACTCTATCACGAGTTGACGTTGAAGTTAGGTGCTGGGGAGCAATGACAGCTGATCGCCGCCTATGGTATGACAGCATCAATAATTTTATTGCATAGGTACCCAAGAAAGGACTCATGCAACAGGAAGAAAAATGCTAGTTGTGTAAGCGACAGGTGCCAATGGATCCCAATCCGTTGACGTTATGCACCTGGTGCTGTGTCAGATGCGGTTGTGTGTGTCTCAGAGATATGCGACCAATCCAAGCCAGGTGAACTGTTACAGACCTTCACAGCGGGTCACAGTGCTTGTTGCGCTCTATTAAACTTTATTCGCTAAGAGTCTCTGAAGTTAGGAAGCGAGACTCCGATACCCAAGATAGTTTCAAGTGCTTTAGATAACCGCGGTGACGCCTTAGGTCCAGTGAACTACTCTGTAGAATGTCGTTCCGAAAATTTAAGATGATGATGCAGTTTATGGGCATCATTCCATATCTTAATGTCCCCTCTGGGCTTCGGATACGGATAACGTAGTAGATTACTCGAATGCTCTCCACAGCAATGAAATCCATCGCGGGAAATTTCACTACCAACAAATGTTCTAAGTCTGACGAGGCTGCTTATCAGACACTTCTGCACAGTTATAGATGCCCCAAAACTGATTGCCCAAAGTGGTCATATCTCACCAAAAGCTGGCGGTAAAGAGGAATTCCACAAGCGACTTACCTATTGAATTGGATGATTAGAATCGGAGGTCCCTGAAAAATGGTGGATTTTCTGACGGCACCACGTAATTGTCGACAGTTCTCACATTTGTAGGCGTTCTGACCACACAGTTCCTCAGAGCGGATGTAATTGGAAAGACATTGCTGGGAGCAAAAGTGATAGACGAGGGTTTAAAAGTAAGTAGACCAGCCTAATGTGCATCACATTGTGAGGCTGATCGTGCGAAGGAACGATGACCAAAAGAGCTAGTCAACACCAAGGCAGAAAAGGAACGCGGGATAGGCACGGTGGACGAGGATTGCCATAATGGGGGGTAAGCAAGCGATTACTCCTCCTCAGAAGTGAAAACCCCATAGTTGATAGACCGTAATCGATGCATGAACTGCACCAGGGAGAGAATAGCTTCCAATGGTGACAGACCGAGCATGCACTACTCATAGAAATAAAGTGCCCAGAACAGACATCCCGTATTGATTAAGAGAAGCGAAGGAATGCTGTAGAAAAACTCGGCACCTTGTTTTCCCGACAGCCAAATGGCAACTGATTTTATGGTTACCGCTCACGCCACTGAGGAAAACATGCAGCATGGCAATATGTACAATGAGCCAAGGCCTATATTTGACTTGCAAATAATAGATCAAAATGAATCGTAGACAGATGATGGTATCAAGGGCAACTAAAGTAATTGTTCACAGTGCCACTTGTGAAGAGAGAATTCGAGCAAAAAAAGCATATGAACGCAGCAGACTTTGTAGGTGCTATCTAGACAGAAGCAGATGAGGCGAGATTGACAGATGGTTTAAATAAAAGTAGAGCAACGGATATTTGACAATTGTCCACTGTATCATAGAAACACTGAAATAATTTTGTTGAATGGGATAAACGTGCACTTTCGAGCATATCAAATGTGACTAGACGGATGAATCAAGGGGGGAACGATTCATCATCGATAATATAATGACACAATTGCACATCGAAAGTGTTAAACTCCGAGCAATTGTATAAACGTACGCAACCGATAGCAATGTGAAAGATCAGAACTAAGTGGAAGACATCATAAGAAAAACGAAGACGAACTTAAGTATTTGGTCACTATGAGGAAAAAGTGGACAATGGTGTTTAAGGTTTCAAATAGACAGTTGTTCGGGACTATAATGGGTCGAGATATCCGAATCGAGTAACGCTGAGCCGTGAATGAAAAAACGCAACACAGATGAGATCGGGGAAAATCAACAGAGAACAGATGATTGCGAGTTAACCCAAAGACAAACTAAATATTTTACCTGCAGGCTACGCCCGCACGTGATATCCACGGAGAGGTTGAAACACATTTCGTTCACGGTTGACACCTTTCGACAAGAATGGCAAGTAACTAGGAGGGTAGACAGAAGGAAATGTGATTGTTACAGTGTGAAGAAAACCAAAGAATACTCCAAGGGTCTAAAGCTGAATAGTGACAAAGTGCGGGCGACCGATCGCGGCAACTACTAGAGTTCATCGGAGTGCCTCAATACTTAATGGACTGCTTAAAATCGAGAAAAATAGTATAAAAATGGAAGTGGAAGATTTTCAGGCAGGTTCTGTAGACTAAAACGAGATAATAAACGGGCTGTAATAAGTACCCATTATTGTACGTAGCAATATGATGTGCACAAGTTAATCTGGGCCGCACTGTGAAGCAGTTTATTGCAAACGTAAACTGGGGTTGTATGGTACGTAGCTAGATGCAAGGCAGATTATGACGAACTTTATCCTCAAAAATCTAGTATCCGTTAACGAGCTTTGGAATTCGAGTCATATCGCTCCGTTAGGCGCCATAGCATCGCTCCATGCCATGCACTATGCAATCAAGTGAGGTCACTGATTGTAATGGTGAGAGCGGATGGGTATCTACCCTTGTTGAGGCGTATCACCGGGGAATAGACGCAAAAACCCACGACTTTAGAGTAGCAATGATAACATACAACACATGGCTTGGTAGTTCCGGCACAAGCATATGCGTATGAATACACATGATAGTTGGAATAGGAATTTCCCTTCACAATTCCAAACAAAATAATTAGAAGACGTAAACTGTGAGATGATTCAGTCATCTCGTGCAAGCTCTTCAATCACAAACCGCGCAGTAATCATGGATATACGAACCAAGTTGATATAAACGCACAATGTATATACATATGCTTTGTGCAACAAATGCGTCCCCCACGATCGCTGATCATAAACAAAATCACAAAGAATTCAGCATGCATAGTGGAGTGTGACTAGAAGATAGTAGGACGACTGCGAGGGGAAAAACAAGAGAACCATCTAAGAGGCCAGGAACAAAGCAAACTGTTACTAGTACGAGTATAATTATGGTAAAGATCGCGATGGATACACATGCCACAGAAAATAGGAAAAGCGATGAACGAAAGGGTCAAATAATCAAAACAGACAAGACATCACACAGGTTAAATGAGCCTGCGGCATATTTAGACACTAAGTGGACGGTGTGTGTGAAGTGAGTGCGATGTCAGCCAACAAGACCCGATCAACCATGATACACATACGGTTAGTCCGACTGCCTCGATTTACCAAAGATAATGAAAATGAATAATGTATTGTTAAGGAGAAATCTAGAGGAATAAACAAAAGATTCAAAACATCGGAAGGAGTGGCTAAGGTTCAGAAAAGAGAGGATGCACGCATCAATATTACTGGCGCCGCCAAGTTTGAGAGCTGGCATGGAAATGCAACGTAATTCCGAGGTTTTTGACAGGGAGTGCCAATGCCACCTGGGGTGGGGGGGGTGGGTACAGGAAGGCTGATTCTAAGCTTCTCGCAGATAGACTGTATTACCTCAACCCCATCCATCCGTTTTCGTCACATTCCTGGTCGAAAAAGGTACGAGTTTGTGACGTCTATTGTTCATGTAATGAGAGTTCTGTGAGGCCACCGAATAGTAAACTCAGCGTAGGCGATCGCCATCAAATAGAATTAAGCTGGATAATGCACGCTTTAGCATGCGCTTCGTGTCTTAGGGGTGCAAAGTAAGATCACAACACTCGGTTGGCACAACACCAGTTTCTACAACCACCAAGACAAGCAAAAGTGGTTAATTAGTTAACCTAACTTGGATAGTTCGTGATCGAAGCAGCGAGAAGGCTATCACATGCGTTGGCATTTTCAATCGAAGTCACTCACGCGAACGCAGTAATATAAGTCTAGTGGCCATCGGTGGGGTTTACACAGTGGTGACCAGGCGAATGTTGCTGTATCTAGCAGCGACATAGTCAATGCGCAATGTAAGCAATTAGGAGGCTGGTCTTGTTTGATTACCCAAACTTGCGAAACATCCCCCATATCTGATGATCGATAATAACCGTAAAATGCCATGTTGGATCGACAGTGAAAATTAGCCTGCATTTGATGACTAGGTCTAGTTCCTTGCACGCCTTCTAGTTCTATTCTCCTAGTGTACCGGTTCCTGAAACGACGAGTAGTTGCGCGAAAGTGTAGAGTGGTAAGTTAACGAAATAGCAGAAAGTAAGTCACCAAAGAGACTTGATCAGGCTGATACAGACTAATTCCTTGGATAGGGGTATGTGTCGAGCACATCAGGGGTGAAGATGAGGAGTAGGAGGCGGTTTTGCATATACTTCCTTTACGATTGTCGCTAACCTTTCATTTGACCACCGTAGATCGTTTACTAATTTGTCCCTATCCGATGAGTACAATGACGTGTTTCGGGTATTATTCCTCATACATTCCTTATTGGGCGAAAGTGGAGAATACAGGTGATTGTTACCACTTCACCAGTGCGGTACCGCAAGACACAGCACTGGGGCCCATTTTGTTTCTGATCCGCATCAACAAAGTACCACAGCTTCTTCGGTCGCCTTGACTCTTATTTGCAGATGACCGAAATAGTTGGAGAGTAATTGATGCTCCCAACGATGGCAGTCTGCAGACGTTGATCTGCTCATCAACGCAGTCAAATCGTTGTCTATGAGTCCGACGCAAAGTGGTGATTAGCGCACGTACACGCTGGGCGACCAACTGCTACATCCCACATCTTCCGTGAAGGATCTCGGCGTGCTCCCACGCTGCGAGTTGAAAACCGTATATAAAACGAACAAGCTATTTGGAAAGCGACTGTGCATGCTTTGTGCACTCAAACGCAGCTACTGTAGTTGATCTGAAGAGATCACCACGCGCCTATTCTCTTCCATCATAAAACCAATGCTCAAGTACAGACCACTCGCAAGGCGCATAGACTAGACTAGAAAGGGTTCAACATGTAGCTACCAGACTCATCCCCAATTTACGGGTATGTCGTATGAAGACAGATACAAGGGACTAGGGATGTACACCTTATCATATCGTCCGTTTCGTGTGGACTCTATAATCCCACACCAGATATTGCATCTAGCTCAGTATCCCCAGCTGAGGCCACTGCTGCACGTGCGCGCCCCAAGCAGCACACGCAGACACCGGTACAAGCTCGTTGTGCCGGAAGTGCTACGTGTAGCTCACTAACTATGATTCGAATGGCGGGTGATGAAATGTAACAGTTTGCTCAAGGTGAAATTGGTGTATGAATTCAAGCAATTTCTAGATATCCGTCGTGCGGATTTCGGATTTGGAAAGTGTATCGCACCCGAATAGCATATGGCGCAGATGCAATATGCTGCAAACGCGCAGAAATCAGTGACATGAGCACGCCCACGTGCCCGTTCTAACAAGGATGAAGCAACACAGATGTATATCTACTAGCATTCTATTTTCAATACTCACTATTCAGCTTGTTAATACGACCCATGTTGAGTGGATGTACGGAATCTTGATGTTCGGATAGCAGTTGAGTAAATAAAATGGGGAATGCCAGTCATATCGACAAAGGTTCAGAGTGCAGAAGCATGGTTTCGATGGTGAGACAGGATGACAATGTAAATGGAGTCCGATCAGAGAAACTCAATAACGGCAAGAAGAGGGTTACTACGGACCACAGCAACCGCAGGAAGCAGATACCCTATACAATGGAGTATATGTGAAACTCACCTTCCGAACGAATAACACCACCGAAAATGCGGCGGATTGCGTTGGTTTCCGCCACGTTTCTGGACAGTTTACCCATCTCCGCCATTGCACAGTCCTCCATTCGTGACAGCATCCCAAGTAGAAATTCATGGGCGTCTTCTTGTTGGTAAGGATGAAAGTTTGGGCAAACGGCTAAATGTGGAACAAACATGATGTTGGATAGAAAGAGAAAAAAGTGAGTCCCTCTAAATAGGGGATCCTGTTAAGCAAACGGTTAATAAGATGGACGAAAAGTTGGCCGCGAACAGTTACAGAAAGGAGTGTCAAGAGTAAACTATCTGGATTACACAACTGTCTAGATCTCCAATAGCGCATGAATGTTGCAACTGAGTGGCTTACATAGAAAAGAGATGACGGCTACGAAGTTTACGAACTGATCGACGTCCTAGTGGTCAAATCCACAGGACGAAACTTTAGAAGAAATACCACACTTAGCTGAAAACTTGGACCATAATTCAAGCGCACATATGTACGGGTTACCTAGTAACTAGTAGCGTTTTGCTCTAATAGACGCAGACAAAAATTCTGCAAAAACGAATGGCAAAAGCAGTATGCCGGTACGCCGTACCGATGATTCGCTGCGACGATACTACAACCACCAGTTGCGTGTGGGTTGCCTGTAATGCGAGGTCGATCGCACTCAGACAGATTCGGAACGGCGACTTTCGGATTACAAAGCAGACGCCTTAACAGTGCCGATTAAGCAGTCTCGACGTCGGATGCTTCGAAGCATTCAAAAGAATGAATGAAAAATAGAGGGGCAATAAGACGCGGAAGGGATTCAGATAGGCGCTATGAATCAATTAATAGAATGATAACCACTTAGAGGTTGCAAACTCCAGTAGCCGGTAGCAGACGAAGCAGTGGGATTAATGCAAGGCTACATCAGAAGCACCTGAGAAAATGTCCAGAGGTTAATAAGGGAAATAGTTCGTTATTCATTCAGTGTACACGTTAGCTGGAGGTGAGGACACCTCAGCTTTTGTGCTGTAACAGACAAGAAAAATAACAAAGTGATGCAACACACGCTATAGCTCAGTCTCCAGTAACGGACGGGCATGGTTCCATAGAACCAACAGCCGGATGTTTGGTCCTAGAAAGGATATATTATGCTTCAGAAATGAGCTAGTGGTTGGATGGGGAGACTAAGCAAGAGAGGGAGCGATAAAGAAACTCAACACAAAACCCATTTAGGTAGGCTCCTAACCATGTCAACAAGTGTATCCGGCCCAACGTGTTCATCGTCTTCCGGGTCCCAACCAGGGAGCCTAGGCCATAACCGAGACCAACTTCGAAGGGTTTTCATTCCTCTTGATCAAGTCTCCGGGTGGCCACTCTTCCTCTTCTTCCATCCACACTCCCAGAGCGCAAACAACAAACCTCGTGGGAGTCGGTGTGCTGGCATACGCAACATGTGGCCCAGAGCCTGGTTCGTGAGATAACCGTTCTGAGTGGTCCACTTCCTCTCTGTGTGCCATAAACAAGGCGCCGAACATGCCTATCGCTCACACGGTGTTGCCACCAGTGAGCCAAACTGTGAAGACAGCGATAGTCGAAGGTAACTAGTCACTTTACGTCTGCCCAACTAATGGGTCAGGTTTCAGAACCACAGAGTAGGGTTAAACGTACGGCCGCATTGTACACTCTACCCTTCAGGGAGAGTGGTGTAGAGCCGCGCCATAGGTGGCGAAGGCTAGCAAAAGAACCTGGAGCTTTTGTAATACGGTTAGAGACCACCTGTTCAATTCAATGGCGTTAATACAACTGTCTAGGTAGTTGAATTTCTGAAGGACTTTTAGGTCATCCCCACTAAGTCAGCGCAGGAGTCGGTCCCTGATAATCTTGGAGGAAAGCCTGGCACTCCGAGGGTGCAAAGCACGGCCCGAAACGGCTGACAGCCAGTGCTAATCTGTCCAGTGCCGCTTGACACATTGGGGAGCTGTCACAGATTAGGGCAATGTCGTCTGCAGATTTCAAGTCAAGTCGTTCTGGGAGCAGCTCTATACCTTCTAAGTCGTGTCCTGTGAACGCGACCTCCATGACTTCGTAAATAGCGAATTGACGAGGAAAAGTAACAGCCGGCATCCTTGTCTTACACCGCTGGAGATACTGAGGGGCGACTACAGCTTGCCGTAAGCCCTCATTATGCCCGAGTTACATGCGTATAGTGCAAGGATAATATTTACATATTTCTCGGGCACAATTTTCCTGAGTAAACAGTCCCAAACACCATATCGATTCACCGAATCGAAGGCACGTTTGATGTCAAGGGACACGGAAACGGTGGGCCGCCAACGACAGTACTCTAGCAATTAATGCGAAGTGAAGATGCGACCGATGCATCCGCGGCCTCGACGAAGTTTGGCACTCACGAGTACGTCAGGAATACATAGGCAAGCGATTTAATGACGATGGAGATCATACTGATTCTTCTATGGCTGCCTCATTCCGAACGTCGGATGAACCCCTAGATGGCCACCGACTTCTGCGAAGGTGTATGAGCCACATAGTTGTCAACGGCCTTCGTGCTCTTCGACGAGTTAGGTGGTCCAGGTAATTTCTGCTGGCCGTGTTGTTTCACTCATGCTTCGTGGGCGCCCTGAGTAGTTTGTTCTTACTCGAAGGTGTGTTATTATCATCATGGTAGCCGGTTCCCAACGGTGTGCGATATACATCAATTGCCCCGCTGGTTCGCGAGTCAGGTCCTTAAAACAAAAGTCCCTGGGTGGAGTCCCCTATTTCAACCCTCTTCCGCGGCCTGGGCAGCCGGGAAGTTACATGCCCATACAATGTACGGAGAAATACTTCCACGACTTTCTGCTCTTTGTCAATGTTACACTGGCCGAGGTGCTGGCGGACCAGCAGGGTATATCACGCTCTACCGCATCACAGTTCAGTTATCGTATTCCACAGTTGTTCAACTCCCCATCCTTGGTAATCGCCCTTCGTTTCCGAGTCCACAACCCCGTGCTGCCTAGGGCGAGTGCTCGCCATAAGGATCAGGAATTTAGGTTCGAGGGTGTGCCGTCAACTAGTACTGAAAAGCCTTGTCTAGCGCCTCGTTTCCAATTGAAGCTGGAAACCTTTAAGGTCCAGACGCTGATGTAGATCGGATCACAAGCAGCCCTTTGCTCGCACGCTTGAGACTGCTGCCATTGAAGTCTGAAAATGATGAAACCGCACATTAGCAACGATGTTCAGACCAGACGGACATTGCTGGCGGATGAGCCGCATAATTTCACTGTATAGGCTTCGGTGGCCTGAGCACGTGCTTCGCATGCATAGTGAGCGTTTGCCTCACCGTGCACTCTGCGCGCACCGAAGTCGGGTAGAAGCGAAGGCTTGGTGGCCCACAGATGACTTGGGTCAAAAGTATGAAGACGCTGACCACACCTATGGCCGTGGTCGGGCGCACTCGACTTCCTGGTTGGGACAAAGGATCATGAGCACATATGGCTAGAAATCTTATCGGACATGTCAAGAAATAAACATATAAATAAAGGATTTAGTCTCGACAGTGCGAGATACGCCTTTAAAGGCATGAGCATGGTATTTCAAACACGAGACATCAGGAATGGTACACAAATGTTACATAACAACCTATACATACTGGATATAACTGTGTATGTACAAGCAGTACGTATGTGGGTGCATGGGTGCGTGAGGCTGGTGGTGACTAGATCCTAAGAGATAGTCTACCCACTGCTGCTACTGTTGTCCCTTGGGCTCATGTTCTGGACGCCTCCTCGGTTCGACTGTTGGGTGGGAGTTGGGGTACGCTCTTCTCCTTGCTAAGTTCCTGGACACCAATTGGCATGAGTCAGGTAACTGACCATGTGCTAGACCCGCTGCCTTTCCGGTGTACATTTACTCGAAGACTTTGGCTGAGGACCCGGGTTGTTCTCCTGTAAGGTGTGGGAGCCCTGTCAGTATCCTAGTCCATCCTCTTCCGTGGTTAGGAAATGGTCGATGGTCCTCTTCCCGTAATACCTAGTCATGGGATACAACAGATCTACGGGTTATTAGCTCACAGCTCGATGGGCGTAGAGCACGAGCGCCACGCATTGTCTCTGACGGTGAGAAGGCACTGGGTGCTCAATGGTTTGCTACCGCCCGCCTCAAGCCAGGCAGTCCCTGGTCAAATTGGTGCAAACCCGCCAAAACCCACCAGCGTCTGGCCGTGGTCGCAGGTGTATCCTACTACGACCGTAAAACATATATCGATCGTTCCAGTACCTCAAAGGCTGCGTGTGACGGCCGTCAAGCAGATCGTAATGTGTCGCTGCAATCACATTCCAGAGCTGGATGTGCTCCCCATTGCCTTGTGGGTCAGGCTATTGAGCCAAAGGCTCCGGCCGGAGTCCCTCAAGCAAACCTCCGAAGCACATCTGGCACCTCGCGTGCGATTGCATACCAATGCAATGCCGCATCGATATTGCGGTGCTCAGTGAAACCCGGCTCGCTGAGCAAGGTAAGTTGTATGAAGCGGTTGCTGGCTACGCATTCTACTGGGTGGGCAACGCCGCCTCAGCACCACGTGATCGTGGGGTTAGATTTGCAATACCTGATCGTCTCCATTGCCAGCTCGTGGGTGAACCAACAGGCATCAGCGCGCGACTGATGACTGTTCACCTACTACTCGGAAGAGGTAAGTTTGCCACTTTTTAAAGCACGTATGGTCCGACCATGTGTTAGCCTGATGACACGTATGCTCAATTCTACACTCGTGACACACTACACTCCATGATACGGTCTGTGCTGAGGAGCGACCGACTATTTCTGCTAGGTGATTTCAACACGCGCGTCGGGCGTGATGCATCGGTGTGGACAGACGTTATTGGTCCGCATGGCATTGGTTCAGCGAATGCGAACAGTGACAGGCTGTTCTCACTGGGTGCCACTCACGGCCTGACGATCACGAACACTCGATTTGCACTGAGTGCGAGTGATATAGCGACTTGGACCCACGCACGGAGTGGTCACGCTTACCTGCTCGACTATGTCATCGTACGTCGGCGTGACATGTGTGAAGTGCGCATAACACGTTTACTGTGTGGAGCTGAGTGTGGCACTGATCATAAATTGGTGCGGACCAAACTGTACATATATTTTCGTAAATCTATGTATTGCAC